TCTATGACTTTTTGCGTGACCAATTCTCGTTCATTGAACCCCACTGACATTGCGTCACTGGCCAGTCGAGCGCGGACCATCTAATTATGGCAATTAGGTAGTCATAGCCATAGTTTTTGGTATGCAAAACAATGGGTATGCGTTGATTTAGAGTCCCTTATTTACATAATTTATTCGCACGATTGTTAATTGGAGGAAAAGACAGCAAAATTAGTGTGAAGTGCTCAAGAAGAATGCCTATGAATATATATATTTCTATAAGGAATGCTGAATTCGTATTTATGATCTTAACTGTGACGATATTTGGCCCAAATTCTGAAAGCGTGCAATGTGTACCTGCTGCAAATACACTATCTTGAACGGTGATAATTGATATAATTGGAGTATTTATGCTCTGAAAACCGCGTGTCACATTTATCTCTTGGATATTGTTGTCTTTGCAAGTCAGCCTTAATTTTCCACGACATGAAAATTAAACGAGCTGAAGGTAAACCTAAATACAACTCAGATATTTACTTTTTTAAGTTGAACTATTAAAGCCGTCTTGCCAAGTACTTTGTATAATAAATCTTACAAGACGTTGTCTTCGATTTTAATTACAGTCTCGTGATGGGTGCTAATAGCTTTTACAGGCATTTGTTTTGCAGCTATAAGCTGAAGTTTTTTACGGCATTACAAAAAAAAAAACTACGTATGAAGATGATGCATCAATTTACTACTTTCTTGGTTGAAAACTCATTAAACGTACATCATAGCCCAGAGCTTAAGTCATCTGCGATACATTCGGCCTTTTATTAAGTTCACACTCGCCAAGCCTCAATTGAAATTGAGCAACTTTCGAGGGTTTTGAGGCTCGGCGAATAAAAAGAGGCACTTGAATTAATTGAGGTTTCGTTAAAGTATTCACTCTTAACCAAGTTGCCTGAGGCCAAATTCGTCATACTTGTGACTTGGCTTTGGCACTTATTGAGCCATCTGCTGGATGTGCAGACAAGCCGCAAGACGGCATTTATCCAAGTATTCTTGACGAATGCCAACAGAAAAAAGCGAAAGTGCTTTGCGCGCAGCCTCATCATAAAAATTGAAATCACATTGAAGCCATTTTACTAAAATGTTAAATATTTTTTATACACATCAAATGTTCAAATCCTGTGAATTTTACATCATAAAATGGGGTGTGAATTCAAAGAGAGGATTATAATTGGCTTGCAGGTCGTATGAGTAATGTTTAATTTAAGAATCACCATAATTTTCGATCACAAGCAGCTATTATTAATTAACAAAGTATTAATTGGTCACAAAGCGAACTCAAATTTTTTCCATTAAATCCATTATTAGAATAATGATACAACAGCATTAATGACAGACTTTTCTATTATTAGGCATCATTTCTCTGTTTCTATGGTATTAATTGGTGACCTTCCCGCTGCTGATATGTTGACCCCACGCTGTCCACGCGGCACCCACACAGAGGCACGCCGAAGGACACCCACGGGACACACGGATGGGGGGCACTCACTCACCTTGACAGACGTGGCATTGCAGGAGCACTGCAACCGCAGCAACAACAGCGAGCTGCGACCATGTGATGATGATGGGTAATCCTCGTGCGGTCGATGGTGTTATTGTTGCTGCTCCTGCTGCTGCTGCTGATGGGGCTTCCGCTTGTCCCTGACGACGCGTTTTCCACGAGGTGGTTTCCCTGACCAACCTGCTCGCTTTCCTCCACATTTTCGGCTGGGCGATTGAAACAAAAGGCGGAATCAAAGCAAAAGTAATTTCGATAGCTCCCGAAATTTTTCCCCTCGTATCGAACTCTTGGATGCTTCAACGTTTCCCAGAATCCTGCGCTTGCGTGCGTGGGTGCGAATGCCCGGGTTCTGGTTTTCCGGGCACAGGTGCCTCCGGGCTGGGGGGTGGTGCTCAGGTGGGCGTTTAGAGTTGCGCGCTTTGACTTTGTTTCAGATTAGGTTTTTCTTAATTTTTGGTGGGTTTCCTTCAAGCCAACCAAAGAACTTGGCGGCAAGGTGTAGTAATCCGTAGTCCTTGGCGTAATTCTTGTTTCGAGGTCTCAAGGTGCTCTATATACACACAAGCCTTCGCTACATATATACATGTATCGGTATGTACTGCGATTTTGTTGGTTACTTGTTTTCTGTTTACTTTTTGTATGTTTTAGCTTGTAACTTTAAGTTGCATAACATTTGCTTTTTGCATTTGCAAAGCAATGCATTTACGATTAACGCACTTATGAATTTCTTTCAGAAATTTCTCTAATTATTGCACAATTTTCACATTAACATTTATTGTAGTCGAGCTTAAACGCAATTTACTTAAAGTAAATCTTGTGTTTTGGTTATGTTTTACTTGATTGTGTTAAAAAAAACGGTGAAAATTAAACGAAAAAGTTTTATTTTGGGCTAGGCCCATTCTCGTTTTTACGGGTTTTTAGTTCGCGCACTATTTTTATTCGTTTCTACATGGATGCTAAACGTGGATCAGTTAAATAATAGTTGATTTCGATATCCGGCTTAGGTGCAGTTGGCTGCGAATTCGGTTTGGTGCATCCTTTTCTTGTTGTGCAGATTTTTTCAGCGCCAAAGTGGAGGAAAGTGATGCGGGAAAAGCGTTACGCGCGTCAGGGCGAATCGAGCTTCAGACTTAGTGTGACCGCAGCGGGAGCGATGGAATTTGCTTTTGGTGTGGCTGCACTCGCGTCCCCGAATGATACCACTCGCTGCTGGAAGAAATGCCAAACGAAATCGTGTAAGCTTGAAAATATACCATAGGGCAGAGGCTTTTATAAGGGGTGTTCTTCATACATTTAATATAAACATAAACATGTCTTAAAACTTAAATTAATTTGTAGAATGAATTGCAGAGAATTGAATATCTGAACCTCTCAAAATTGTTTTAGAGCTCTACATGTACTGAGCTATCAATTCCTTATATTTATACAAATAATAAACTGAAATTTAACTGTAAGTATCTTATCTAAATTATCATATATTATCTTATCAACCAATTTTCAGCATACAATTTTTTTGTTTTAATTGTTCTTTCAAATCCTGCCGCCCAGGTGGCGTACTCAGCGACCGTTAAATTCAAAATGTTCATGCTCAGAGCAAAATAATTGAAATAAAGTCAGAGCCTCCTCCATTTTTTCATCTGTTGTCCCTACACTGCCTTTAGTGCAACCGCAAAGGCCACAAAAACATGACAGTACGCACAGGAAAACAAGCATTGCAAATGACTTCACAACTGTACGGAAAATCGTACTGTCCGCATGCGGTTTCGTTGTGCCAAGTTAAAATATTTGCATTTGCGGTCTAGTCCTTTTGCATTTCCAACCACCAAATAATCCTTTTAGATCCTGTTTGTGGATACTCTGTGTATATTATTTTTTTAAACGGGCGCAAGAAGGCAAGGAGTTCATTCTTGCACTCATTTAACTTTAAAGTTTTGGCCATAGTGAATAGTAAGATAAGGAATAATACAAGACAAGGGAATAGCATTGGAAAAACGGATACTAGAGTGTGGTGAAGGTGACGAGTAAGGGAAGAGGGCGTTGCGCATCCGGCAAAATACAAAGCGCAAAACTTTTACTACAAGCGCGTAAGCACCGCCACATCTCCATGAAGGGGAGCCTAAGAGCATTAAGGGGAGGTAATCCGGAAGTTGCGAGTGGAATGGAAAATGAATTCTGCGCATGTGAGAGGTTATTTTGATGCTAATAAACATTCAAAAAATTTGCGCCAAACTTGAATCCAAGTTCTCCACCAAGGTTCGGGAACGCACTAAGATATAGCATACACCTGCGGTATATTTCTGGAACTATCGCAATCGATATTCGCTGCGAAGACATCGATGCTGCTGCAATCGATTTATGTTTCATCTCTATGCGCAACGGTCACTCTGATTTCATCAAACGGAACGGACGTGTTTCAGCAGACTATTTACATTACAAAATTGTTTGTAACAGATAGTGAGCCGCGTATACATAACGAGGTGAAGCAGACGATGCACTGATGTAAAGGCGCAGTGCCAGAGCAACTTTTTGGCGTGTTCCCCGCGTGGAACTGCATTTTTTTTTGTTTCCTTCCTCAGTTTTTGTGTGTGGTGTGCGAGCGAGAGGGCGTGCGAGCGAGCAGGAGCGGAACGGTAAGTACTGACGGCCAGACAGAGACAGAGAGAGCGCAAAAAAAAAAGCGAACGGCGAAAAGGCAAAACGGCAAAAAAACAAAAACCAACGCCTCGCATTTGCAGGAAAACCTATTAGTTCTTAATATTAGAAAAGTGAAAAAGTTGAAAACTGAAAAACTGAATTCCCTTTGCCAGCAGCCTCAAAATACGAATTGGCACTTGCCTGCCCATTTCACATTCTCAATCCGGGGCTGAGGCTGCTCAGCTGGACAAGGAGAGGGAATAAATTCGTAGCAGGCGCTGCTCGGAATTTCAGAGTATTGTAATCAAATTGTAATTTTTATTCCTCGCAATTGCAAAATTTAAGCATACGTTTTTTCTTCCTCTATCCCCATTTGATTACAGAACAAATTACCGTGAAATTTTAGCACTATCCGTACGTTATTTTGTATATTTTTGTACGCATGTACGTGTACGTGCCCCTCGTCCGTCTGCACAAATGTGGATGTGCATGTGTATCGTAGAATTGGCGTATTTTTATACATAGAATATCTGAGCTATTGGAGTATTCTGGATAGAGCCAATCACCACGACGACGAGTGTCCACGGGAAGTAGGAAGAAATCGTATAGTCAGCGGAGGAGCAAATAAGCAGAAGCAGGCGGAAGCGTAGAGCTTGACCAGGTGTCAAGTGAAGCCGGTGAGGCTTAAAGGCAGATCCACCTTAGGATCTCAACATTATTAGTGCCCCTGAGGCGGCAGACTAAGCAATAGGATATATCGAATACACTTAGAATCGTCACTTATACCAATCTGGGTAATTCCCAAGGGAAACAGCAGTACAGCAAGCGGTAAGTTTCGAAATCTGACTTACAACACACTATCATCCGAGTTTTTGTTTGCTTTTTCAAACAATTTGCATTACTTGTTGGTTTATTAGTTTAATGCGCACCCTAACACTACACACTGTCTCCAGTACGAATGCACTCCCAATCAGCGATCGCGATTCCAATTAGAGCAGCACCCACACATTGGTCCAACTGGTTTTGTTTACAAACAAACATGAAACAAGTGAGCCTATCTGCCAGCCAGGTTTTCGTTTTCCTCGCCATCCAGTGAAAAGAGGCAGGCACGAACTCGAGCTGCACCGCCAGCTTCTTCGCCTGCTGCAAAACAGGTTTTCTTCTGGCATGGAGGTGCTTGGCCGCAAACTGCAGCGGAGTTGGGTTTTCTAGGCCAGCAGAGAGCTGCAAAGAGCATGGCACAGTGAATACTGGCCAATGTTCGTCTTCATATTCTTATCAATCAGCGTTGTACGCTTAACACAACAACAATGCAATTCTGTTTGATCGTTTCAAAGCTAAAAAAGAAATCAAGAAATTTAAGTGATCTATTTCTGGCGGTCTCCACTGTGCTGTTGAAAGTGCTGACGGAATGCCAAACTGGATGTAGCCACACAGACGACAGCAAAGCATAGCTCACCTCCCACGCCCACAGACAGCTGCTTCTTTGTGGCTGCCTTTGTGTTGTTCCGCTTTAAGGCCAGTACTGACTGTGTGTCACCTATCTACGTGTATTTGGGCTGCGCAAGTGACTAGTCCATTGATAAAACCGACGATAAGGTGTGGAGCCATCTTTGAAATCGTTTTGGATGTATACACGTCCCGCGAGTGACATCATACACCACATTCCAATTAAAAAGCTCAATTGATTGAAAAACTGCGAAAAATAAAGGGGTAAAAGAGGGAGTGCATTCGTTAAATAGCCCTTAGTTATAAGATCTAAACACATGATTTGCATGTTGATTTTGGTTGCTTTTTCACACATTTGATGTAACTCTCATTCGCATGTATTCACGGCTTTGACTGGAACCCTAATACGCCAAGCATATCCCACATCGCCAGCACCATTTTCACTTTCATTTCCATCTTACTAACATTACGATTTGTACATCTGTTTTGCTCCGGCCGCGGTTTTCTTAACTCTCCGTGTGTGCCTGTGCCTGTGCGTGTGACCGTGCGATTGTGTGCGTGTGCAGATCCTTGGAAAGTCCTCCTATGTTCCCACAACAGGGAGGGGGTGGGAAGGGAACCAGGCCACAGTCGACACATCAGCAGAACCACAACCATCAAGCCCAGCTTCACCAGGCGGCGCACTCGCATCACCATCACCTCCAGCAGCAACAGCAGCAGGAGCAGCAGCAGCAGCAGTCCCACGCAGTGTTCGTCCCGAACCACAGCGGTCTGCACCACCACCAGCAGCAACACTTGCTGCAGCAGCAACACCAACAACAAGCAGCCGCCGCCGCCCATCTTCAGCAACACATCCAACAGCAACAACAGCAGCAGGTGCAAGTCCAGGCCCAGGCCCAGGCGCACCATCAGCCGATCATCTTCTACAATACCCAGCCGTCCTACGCCGCCCATTCCGCGGCGGTTAACAACAATGCCAACGGCGGCGGCGCTGCCCTCCAACTGAGCGCCGCCGCCAGCTCCAACTCGTTGGGACATCCTATTAGTGGTGGTCATCATGGTGGAGCAAATGGCGTGGCGCCTGGGGCGAACATATCCCGGGCCCTGAGCAACCCAACTCTACCACCCCACTTCCCACAATCAGCTGGCCTGATCGCACCTGCCGGCGGAAATGGTGGTGCGGGTGCCCCCTACATGTCCGCAGCCTATATACCCTTTAATCCGACCGGACCTCTGATGGGCATGCAGCCTGCTGTGACCTTTCCAACTAACGGAGCTGCTGGAGCTCCATTCTTTGCGACTGCGCCACCACCTCCACAACAGAAACCGCTTCCGCCAAATGGTCAACAACAAGGTCCAGGCGCGGCAACAGGAGCTGGTCACCCGCAGACGATAACTTACTACCACCTTGGGCCGACAACTCAAAACAATGCTGGCAACAATGTGGTCAGTGGTGCCAATTCACATCGTGGCAATATGCGCGGAGGGCAAAGATCTACTCCGACCGCCCAGCATACAAACTACTTTGCCGCATATGCTATGTCACCGGGAAATGCCCAACGTCCCGCTCCGACAACTGTGGCTCCCATGATGAACTCGCGCAGTGGCGCTCTAAACGGAGCTGCTGCTTTTCATTTGCCGCACAACTTTATACCCAATTTGGCATTGGGAACCCCAGCCGGGATGACGACCCCTATTTTGGCTCCGGCTGGAATACCGGCTCCGCCGCCGCAAGCAACAGGCGGATTGCACACATTTGCTCCGCATTTGCAGAGCAACAGTGCCACCACCTTACCTAATGTCCCAAGTGTGACTGGAGTTCCCGCAGTGGCCAGTGGTTTTTCAACCACCTCGCTTCCAACTCCTCCAGTAACATCAGCAGCGCAACTGGGGGCCAACAGCGATAAGGTATGCAAGCGCAAATACGCCATTCCCATCATCCATCCTGACACCATGGAGAATGTGATGGATGGATGGAAGAGATCGGTTTTTTTAAAAAAGGACTCAAACTCGACACTAACACAGCACACAGCTCTGGATACAGCTCTGGACTCGGATAGTACCATGTGCCTGTACCAGGCACCCATCCTTATGGACTCTGGTTCGGCGTCATCTCTGTTGTCTGGTGCAATGGTAGATCAGCAGATGCAGACTGTGAAGTCACCCACTCCTCTCAAACAGTCCGTTTCCTTGGAGAAGGTGCCAGAGGTGCTGTACAGCGAAGAATCTGTGGGTCAGGAAGTTGCCCAATTACCTCCACCCAAAACAACGGATAAGGATCAGATCAGCGTAATTGTGAAAGACATTCTCGCCCACTCGGGCAACACAGAAGACCATCTAAGCTTCTGGCAGTATAGTGACGGTAAGTTCATAGAAAATTAAAATGTTTTTTGAAGTATTTGAGAAGGAAGGGAAGCAACTCAGTAGCGTTTTCGATAAAGCGTTAAAGCAGTTACAAATATACCTCCAAATTGAAGTTAGCCTTGCTTGAAGTGTCAAAGTCTAATGATTCCTCTTGCAGTGGACAATGTCACGGAGACCCACGATAGCCTGCCGCTGGTACAATCGGATTTAAGTCTGCCCGATGCAACCGACGCATATCAGCAGCCAGTTCTTTTCCAAGAGCAAGCCAAAAAGCAGCGTCCCAAATCAGCCAACAAACAAAGTAAGTATTGTGAAGTTTAATCTTTTAACGTCGACTATATTCTTTGCTCGAAGGTACAGCTACGCCCACATCCATAGCGAATGACGTAGCTGAGGCAGCAGCCACCGGTTGCCCAGGCATCTCCATCCTGTCCAGAGGCCAGTCGATGCCAACACCAGCTGGACCCTCGACACCGCCACCAGCTCCGCGTGTCGCCCAACAGAAGCCAACCAAGTCGATAGCAACCACAGCTGTTCCAGCGCCGGCTAAGACAACAACGGGTTCACCCAACAGGAAGTCGAGTATTCAAGCCGCCACCTCGACTACGACTAGCTCGGGTGCCTCCTCGTCGACAGCGTCGACACCGACCCACGCATCCAGACAGCTTCAACAGCAGCCTGTTAACAATCTGCAGCAGGGAAAGCAGATTCCAGGAAGACCATCAACTGCACCATTACCACCGACTGCTTCACGAATCTCGGCCGCCGTTACGCTGCTTGCCGGCACCACTAACATAACCAACAGTACCAGCTCCAAGAAGCAGCGAAAGGTCCAAAAACGGGCCAAGGAGCTGGAGAAGAAAAAACAGAAATCCTCTATAACAAGCACTACAAGAACTCAAGGGCAGAACAACAATGGCAAGGGCAATGGCAATGGCAATAGCAACGCCGCGCCAGAAACTAACACAAATAACAACAATGCTGCCACAGTGACAACAGCCACGGCAACAGCACCCACAACCAAACAAGGAACGGCGGCTGTCGATGACAAGGCGACGGCGCAACCGATGACTGATACGCTTAGTGCAACTAGTAATAATCCTAAAGTAAGTTCTATTATAAGAGACAAAAAGCCCATGCTCAGTCCCAAGGAGCAATTGACGAGCAACAACAACAACAACAATAATGAGGATGGCATCGACGCTGAGGTGGACAGCGATCCTGAATGTAAGTACAAATTACTAAAGTAACAAAAATTGGTCTTCTAGATGTTCTTGTCCGCGAAATTATCGATAGCTGATAATATACCGATTAGAATCGGTGCAACAACTTTTTGTCCGTTGCTATAAATTGGGCGCGTCTTTTTCTAGAGATTGGATTTCCTAAGAATTGAATTTTTCGTTGTCATGTTCAATTGAAAGAACTTTTTTTTTTTTTTGTTTCCCAGCTGACAGCAAAAACGACAGCATGTCGAATATTATCGGAGGAAAGTCAGAGAAGCATTTAGCCAACGAAGAGATTGTGGCCAAGTTCCTGCAAAAGGACAGCCCCAACACATCCGTCGCGCCCTCGGAGACGCAACAGCTGCAATTCCTCAACAGTAGTAGCTCTGTGTGCGAGGAAGATGAACCAGTTCCGGTGAGCTCTGGAGGAGTGGTCAATACGGAGGAGAATGTCGATGTCGAAATCAAGTTTGGTGATTTTCATGAGGAGCCACGCCACGACACAGGTACAGGTTTCATATGCGGCTCCACATGGTCGAGTTCGACGATCAGTAAGGCGGCGGAGGACGACTCTTCGCAAAGCAGCAGGAGTGCGGATAATGTGGATTGTGCTCCCAAGGTTGGCGAACTAATTTCTGGAGAGAAGGAAGCAGAAAGCAAGAAAAGCTCTCCGGTTCATGAGACAAGCGACTCAGGACCGAGCTCCCCCAAAACCAGTCAGCAAAAAGGACTGAAGTCGGAGAGTCACAGCCCGAGTCCTGCTCCGCAGGTCCCCAAAAACTATCGCTACAGCATTGAAACTCTACGTGAGCTTTCCAAGCGAAGAGACTCACGTAAGCCACCTCTGGTGCCCTGTCAGAAAGGTGACTGCATCTCTCAGCTGTTCGTATCGCGCCAGCAGCAACCGCAGCAGCACCACAGTCACGGCCAGCACATCCAGCAGTACCAACATATGAGCTTCAACGAATCATTGGACTATGTGCCCGGTAAGCGAGGTCGTGGTCACGGACCCAACAAGAAGCACCACGACGGACATCAGCAAATGGGCGGCTCCAGTGGTATGGGCAACATTGGAAGTGGCGGAGGAGGAGGAATCTCGAGCTCCAGTCAACGGCACACGGACATCATCCGGGTGCAGCTATCTCTTAAGGAGGAGATCAAGCTATCCGAGTGCGAGAATGCATGGCAGCCAGGTACTTTGCGCCGCGTTTCAATGGCCGGTGGTCAAGATGAAGACGACGACGTCGAGGGAGTGCTGAAAAAAGTACGCGGTATTCTCAACAAACTTACGCCGGATAACTTTGATGTGCTGCTCAAGGAGATGTCCAGTATCAAGATGGACAATGAAGCTAAAATGACAAACGTAAGTTCCATATGTACGAAATACTATATTAAACGAAATATTTCGATATTACGTTTTAAATATATAATTATTCAAAACTAACACCGTAACGACAAATTTATTTCAGGTCATGCTGCTGATCTTTGAAAAGACAATTAGTGAACCGAACTTTGCACCCACATATGCCCGCTTCTGCAAGGTACTTTTCCACGAAATCAAGGCCGAAAACAAGTCCCTTTTCACCAGCTCGTTGATCACGCGCATTCAGCATGAATTTGAATCAAATGTAAATGATGCCAACGCAAAGTCCAAGAAGCTGCAGCCAACAATGGAGCGCATTAATCAGTGCTCGGACCCAGCAAGGAAAGCGGAGCTGCGCGCCGAAATGGAGGATCTAGAATACCAGTTCAGACGACGAGCTTGGGGAACTGTTCGATTCATCGGCGAGCTCTTCAAGCTGCAGTCGCTGACCAACGATCGAGTTCTCAACTGCGTGGAGTCGTTACTCGAACACGGATGTGAGGAGAAACTGGAGTATATGTGCAAGCTACTGACCACAGTGGGTCATCTGTTGGAAGCTAGTCTGCCGGAGCAGTACCAGCTGAGGGATCGCATTGAGAAGATATTTCGGCGTATCCAGGACATTATAAACCGTTCCCGTGGAACTTCGCACCGCCAACAGGTCCACATCAAGATCAGCAGTCGAGTGCGGTTTATGATGCAAGATGTGCTCGACCTGAGGCTACGCAACTGGGATCAGCCGGCAACCCATCAGTCAGGACAGCAGGCCGGCCGCGGTCAGCGGCACAAGCAGCACGACGACTCTAAGGATCAGTCCCACCACAGCACAAGTAGTGGTGGGCGTGGAGGGGGAATGAATCAGCACCAGCAGTCGGCTCATCACCAGCAGCAAAAGCATCATAACCAGCACGGTCACGATGGCGGAAACTACTTCATGCAGAAGATGCCAAACAAACAGCACCACGAGAATCAGACTCTGAGCATAGATCCCAGCAAGTTGCGATTTAGCAACAGCAGTGCCACCGACGACTCAATTGCTAAGTTAGGCAACTCTTCGCTCTACCAGTGGCGCAATGCAGGTAACCGTCCGGTCAGTTCAACGCAAGTAAGTGCATCAACTGCGCCTCCGCCTACATCCTTGTTGAAACGGCCGGGGCAAAACTACAGATTCTTGCCGTATCAGCAGCCTCCGGCAGCAATGGGCACTGCCATTGCACCTGCTGGCAGCAACAGAAGCAATGTGGATGTAGATGACGCTTTCGATCGTAAGCAATGCCAGGAGCTCATTATAAAACTTGTCGAGGAGGCTCTCTACACGCGCGACTGGCAACCGGAGGTCCTGCGCATATGGCGTTCGCATAGCGGCTCGCAACAGTCGAAGACTTTGCTTTATTTGCTGACTGACTACCTACACAAGTCTACGGTGAAGCGTCAGCAACGGCAGACCTGCGGCAATGTCTTTGCTTACCTAATGGATAAGGAAGCCGTGGAGAAGGAGATTTTCGAACAGGCGTACTCTCGGTTCGGCGACGATTTTCCCGATTTGCTGGTGGATGTACCAAACGGCTGGGGTTATGTATTCGAATTCCTGGGACCCATCATTCACTCGGGCCAATTGAACCTAAAAGATGTTTGGCAGCGGCGCTGGCTGGATGACTTTTTCTTTGCCGAGCGGTTTGTGTACGCCTTCGTCAGCTACTTTGTTCAGGAATTCGGAGCCGCCTATGCCCGCAAATTGTGGCACAACGACTACAAGCTTGATCGAGGTCAGCTTTTCTGGAGCGATGTGCGCAAGTATCGGGAGTTTGTGCAGTCGCACAGTTTTTACTTTCTGGACAACGGACCCGGACAGAGTCAAGGACATGCCAAAGCTAAGGCGCCCACAACTCCACGTTCGCCGGAGGAGCACGTAGAGCGGATTAGACACCTGTTAGCAATGTCTTGCGACATGGCCATCGACTACATAAACACCAATGTAGCCATCAATGACAACTTTGTGAGGCAGCTCACCAGGTTCCTATGCTGTGATTTCGCCCTGACTGTGATGACAAATAACCACAAAAACAACAAGAGCGGCGGCAACTCTAGACCGCCGCAGCTGAACACCGAGAGCTTCCGGAGCTGTTGCACTCCACTACTGCGACTGTGTATCGACGCCCAGGAGGTGCTGGAGATCGCTTGCATAGACGAGGCTGTGGACTCTCTGCAGCAACACTTTATGACCGAGTTCGAGGACGAGATGGCCGCCGGCGAAACTATCTGCAACACGTTCAGTGTGCTGTACGAGAGCGAAGTGATCCCCAAGGAGTCGTTCGACAAGTGGTACAAGCTAGAGATGGCACATTCTAGAGCCTACCGTCGCCCATTCATTGACAAGCTGCGGTGTTTCATCCAGGAGATGTAGATGAGATAACACCAACCAGCAACCATCCGATTCCAATGTAACAAATAACCACAACGAAGCAAACAACCAACCACAAACTGATCCATAAGGCAACATCGTTTGAAACCAATCCTTAGACTAGGCGCGGTCGTAGGTGTCGAAATCATTAACAATACTCCAACGATCATTCGGAAATTTCACATGTCAATCTTGCAACACACAGGGCGGTATATGTCAGGTGTCTCTTAAACACATTTATTTGTTAAATATGAGGAATATATCTGTCGAAATGATGATTGCACATACTTATATGTTGCACGATTAATAGATCTGTCGAGATGAAAATTTTTTGTTTTTATACACAGATTTCTTTCCGAACCTAAAACTTATCCATTTCATTTGTATCACAACACGTTCCTTAAAAAAAAGCTAAGATTATTCCCTTTTTATGACTTGGTCATAATTCAACTCAAAGATATACATATTTACACATTACTCGTATCAAAAGAATAAAAAAAAAAATCAAAAAAAAATGCAAAACTATGTAAAACTGAATCTTCGATGTCGAAAAATATTTTCAAGAAATCAAATTCTGACAATGCCTTACCCAATGTGAACTGGGTATAGAAATATATTTATGTATATTTACATATGGACTATTCATTTTTGTAAACCCACAGTATTTCGTTAACATTAAAATTAAAGCGGACATCATTTATAGAACTAGGTGCGTAGCTTAGCATACTTTTCTAGACTTTAAACAGAATTTTGTTTATTTAACCTTTCAGTACAAAGCTTTATGAACTTCGTTTTGTTTGATTTATTATAAACAACTACCAACATTAATTTATCTATTTTCAATGCAAATGGCTCAAAACCTATACGAAAATTACCCTATCTTCCCAACAGATCTGTATTTTCAATCTCAATTCTGAGGCTTCTTGTTCGACTCAGAAATTTCACGTATATTAAATCAAATATATATAAATGAATTAAAACAATATTAATTTATACAAAATTATACGTACGTATACTAAAAAAAAATGTAAATTATAAAATTCGTAAAGACATGTAAAGTATTTAGCACACAAAGCATGATTATCCAAAGATAAATCTTAAAATTAGCTGTAAAAAGAAAAAAAATACAGTAATATTAATTTCAAAAAAAATATATAAAACCCAATATATAGCTATTTAAACCAAATTAAAAAAAAATTAATCAAGCGTAGAAGCATACACAAGGTAACGAGAGAAAAAGCAAAAACAAAGAGCTCTAAGCCGCCTTTAATTAGTTATTTTTATAAAATTGAACGAAAAACACAACTAAATTGAAAAACAAAAGCAACTCAATCTCATAAATTTATATATAAAATATTTAAAGCGTGGCAACTAACAAATGTAGCAAAAAGAAAAATGAGTTGTACTAGACTCGAGAATTTGTGTATAAACTTTAGGTTTTTTTATTTTTACACTACAAGTGACAAAATATGAAATTGATTTACGGCAAAAGCAAAGGAAATTGTACGCATAAGTAATTAGCAAAAGAAACATAAAAGAAAACATAAAAACCAATGCAGAAACACAGTTAAATTAAAATAGTTAAGAATTGACAAAACAAAAGGAAAAAAAACCAAACAAAAGGACGTAAAAGAATCGCTTCTGCACTAACAAGCAAATACTTCTAAAGCCAAGCTAAACCATTTATAAGCTTAAATCGAGCAGTGGGCGTGGCACTTTAACTAGTTTCGTAGCAACTTTCGGCAGGCATTCCAAATGCTTTCGGCCAACTTCTGGTATTCATTCAACCAAGGCAAACTGGTGTCCTGCATTTTTAGCAGTCCAAGCATAAGATTGAGGAAAGCAAGTGCAGAATCCGAGCGAGTAGAATACAAAAAACCCGGCAGAAGCACACACATGCGGCACCCAGGGCAAAATAGGGAGACAGGATAAATGGGCGTTTAAGGCAAGATTAAACAGAAATCAAGAAGAAATTGTAAACAGCAAATAATAAAATCGAAAAGTAAAACTCCAAGGCGTTTCAATGTGGGCCCCATCCCCAGGAGCACTTGGTCACATTCGAGGCATGCAACACACACTTTCATCCATAGCAAATCCCACTTACCCCATCACCCTCATCAAATCGCATCCAAAACACATCTTAAACCTTCATCTTTTGGTGATGGCAGCATTAAGTTCCATTTGCATTGCTTAGCATAAGAGGTTATGGATTTGGCTTTAAGGCTTGTGCGCGGGCAAAACGTAAGCAAAGTTGTACCTATATTCTTAGACACAGTTATTAATTATAACTATATTTTACTCTTCTGGCAGGCCATAAATCATCCGCACGATGGAGCGACGCGGGCGCATTCCGGTGGCCAAGTTCCGCACCCAGGAGGCCAAGACACGCAGTCGGAGTCGCGTCAGGGAGCCGGACTACAACGAGCAGGACCCAGAGCACGATATGTTTACTTTGCTGGAGGATAACATTGCTCTTCGGGAGGAGAACAAGGCTCTTAAGCTGGAGATTGAGACTCGTCAGTTTGCTTTCAAAATAATATTCTTAGAAGTCCAACAACTAAACCTTTAACCTCTTACAGATAAAACCACACAGGAGGAGCAGCAGACTCAACATGGGAAGATGTGCGCTGCACTGGAATCACTGCAGCAGCAGCAGACCAACTTCGAGACCCAAATCAAGGAGCTGAGCTCCAAGTTCAACAAGGCTCTCAACGAACGAAACGCTTTAGACAAGCTGCACAAAATGAAGGTCGATCAAATTCACAAGTATGCTACAAATGTATGAACCAAGAATTTCTCATAGAATCATACATCTCTATTTCTAGTCTCACCAGCGAGCTGGAGCATATTCGCGAGAAGCAGCAGGATCAGGCACCACCAGTAGCTCCCCGGGCGGTGCTCGGTTCCGTGGAACTGAAGCGAAAGCTCTTTAAGATCCTGCAGTCGGGCAGCGCAGACAGTGCTGACAGTATCGGAACTCAGGAGCTGGACAGTTTGGTTGATGTCCATTCGGAGGGGGTGCCCATTACCAGCGGCTTGGTTGAGCGACTGGCCGATGAGTTCTTGACTCTCAAAAATACCACCAATTCCGTGGAGCTGCAGTTGTACGAGGCCAACGAAAAGATGGCCGAGCTGTTGGAGCAGGTAGGATTGATGGACAGAAAAGGACCGAGATTGGGAGTACCCAATAATAGTTAAACGCACTTATAGAATTTTGCAAATTGTACATTTATGAATACGAGATAATATTGCTCGTTAGAAAACATACGTGTGTACGTGAGAAATAATTGATCCTATGACTCTTGCTTTTAATTATATTTATTTTCTCATTCCTGTCATAGCAACACGCAATGGACGAGGAAAATGAAGCGCTGCGAACGGAAAATAGTAACTTGACCAAGGTGGCTAAACTGTTGACCGAAAACATGAAGGAGAGCGTGGAAACTAGCCAAAAGTGAGTATATTACTATATTCTTAACATGCCTGAGAGGTAAACTAAATATCGTTACAGAATGGAAGCCGCTCTCATCAAGTTGAAGCAGCGCAATGATGAGCTCGCTGCGAAGACTCGAGATCTGACTGATGGCCAGCCAGGATCCAGGACCAGTACGTCGTCCAGCGTGCTAAACGAACAGGTGGAGTTCGAGCATATCCAGGACCAGGTGCAGCAGCAGGCCAGAGAGCACAACGAGCGCATTGTGGAAATGGTTAGTCCCAAGTTCTGGTTACTCCTTGATTTTGCACTTGATCTATGGCTATCAAACTATCTATTCTGTCCCTCTCTGTCCATCCATTAGCAAACACGCAGCGTGTTTGATATTTTCAAGCCGTTCTCGAATATCTTCAAGAGCAACTGAATCACAACAAGATCAGCTGGTGGAGGCGTTTCTCCCCCCAATGCACACGTATAATACGATCTGAAAAATGCATGGAATATGACCAGCTGGGCGTGTTGTTGTTCCCTAGTCTTGGTGCCGGGTCAACCTTACTTCTTTCCACTACCAAAATACCAACCGAGACACGTAAGCAACTCGCTTGCCGTGCGCCGCTTTCCCCACTCACCACGATCCCCTGGCTTTCGATGCACTAACTTGTTGCCCCCCAAATGCTTTGATTATTCTACTAATCTTCTTACACTATTACCCACCAAACCAATCTCTTCCTGCTCCTGCTCGCCCGCCCCGTTCTACCCTTGTTCTTGTTTCTTGCATTTGTAGCAAAATCTAATGGATGCGGCTATAGCCAAAACTACTAACGATGAACTAAAAAAATTACAACTTAAGTTGGAGATACTCGAGAAGCAGCTGCGCGAGGCAGTCACGCGTGCTGATCGTGCCGAGGAGCAACTGGCGCACTACCAGCAGTCTGAGCAAAAGTCTCTGGCCGCTCCGCCACCTCCTCCACCGCCACCCCCTCCTCCAATGGCAGGAAAGCTTTTTCCTCCGGGCGGATTGGTGGCAGCTGGCGGTGGCAGCCTGAGTGACCATATTGCCGGACATAGCTTGCGCAAAGGCAGCGGCGACAAGATCATCGAAAATGTGAAACATCAGGTACAGGCCGAGGCTGCAACAGGTATGTAATCCGATCCAGAATCAAACAGCTTTCCACTTGCCTAGTTTTCAAGGGAACCATACAGCTTGTGTGTGTTTCAGTGGGTGGGCTAAAGTGCCAATGTCACATTGATGACCACCAAACACGTTTTGTTTCGCCCTTTTTTGGCCTACACTTTTACGACAATGTCATTGGTGGTCAGCCTTCATTCGATTTTTACTTAAGGGACCTTTTATAGGGGCTTGCAATTCAATAAAGTTTTAGAGCTGCTGGCTGAAACTTTTACCATTGTTTGAAATATTTGCCTTTCAAGGAGCTCGAGTGGCAGATGAACTCATTGGACCCATGAGTACGAAAAACTATGCACAAGTTGAATAGACTTTACTTCATGTTCGAGGCCCTTCATTGCCCTGAATCGATTTCGGTGTGAATTCGGGAAATTGGCCTGAAAAAAGCTGTCAGTAGGAGATTTTCCATTCCCACCCCACTCATGTAACCAGCCATGTGTCTGCGGTTAATCCTAACCAGCCGTGCGTTGACAAGTGCCTGCCATTGTCGCCGTGTCCTGGTGCTCTGGCTGAAGCGCCCAACTTGTTGCTGTCAATTGTCAGTTACGCCCACGCCACTCATCCATCCGCTCGAGACCCCTGCTCCTCTGCAGCAACCCCCGTTCACGCAACACACAAACCCGTCTGCGATTGTAATTGATTTTACCTACACGTCGGCTTCTTTTACGGCTCAATGCAGGCTTTCACTGGCTGGCTTTCCGCCGCCTCCTCCACTTGTGCCATTCACTCTCGACTGCTGCAGCAGCAACTTCTTAATTAAGTTTGCAAGCAGCTTTTTGCGGGGGTCAGGGATGGGGGAGGCAGCTGTAAGTGATGCCCTAGACATGGTATCAATTGGAATTATTAGCACAAAGAGCACGGCGCTCAGTTTAGCATAGTAATATGTTTGAAATAGTAATATCGCATCAAAATCTAAATCTAAAGGCTTTCTATGCTATGCTTGAAGTTTCGTTTTTTAAAAATGCTATAAAAGTTGAACAAAAGCTTTAATTGTACTCGTATATCACTCTTGCCATAACAACATCATTGTACACAAATTCAATTGCCTTTCGGATACTTGATTTTGTCAAGCGTTCATTCGCAACGAAAAGCTGATGGAAACTTAATTAGGCTTTGAATTTTTCGATGCTGTAAAGCTGAATCTACTGATATCTTTTCTATTTATCCTCACTTTATAATAATATGACGGACAATGCGAAGCTGAGTAAATAGAACTATATATACACGTGTGTACTTTATAGAGGGCAAGGTGTTTACATTGCCATCGCACTTGTGGGCCATCTTTGCCGTTAAATGTACGCTTTTTTACGATGAAACAATTGAGCGAACGTTGTACACACACAACATGCTTTAAATCATCATGTTGTGACTAGATATATCATACGCATGCAGGGCAGGCTTGCTGATAAGCTCAATGAAAATGAAATCAACCCATACACCCGCATCAAATGGTAAATATGCCCATGTATATTGTTGCTGAACGTTTTGTGCGTGTGTGCAGCAAGGCAGGATATGCATGATTACATTATATACACCATTGGCAAATATGTATCTACGTGCTATATATTAAATATTGATCCAGTAGCTAGTCCTGAATGTGCAGCCACAGGTTATGACTATGCGGTGATATACACGTATCAAATGCATGTAATCCTTGGTTCGTCCACTTACTTGGCGTAAAATCTTCAGATCAAGACAGCAATGTCAGGGCCATGCAAGGCACACACACTCGCTCACTTCCACACTTTCACTGACACTGCACACTGTCACTAAGCACTTCCGTTTCCGTTTTGTTTTGGCGCTGCTTCATTCCTGTTGCCTACTTTTTGGCGCGCACCACGAGTCGTATGCGTAACGAGCGCACATTCAAAACGAAATCAATCAACGCGCTTATTGTTGGAAGCCAGAAAAACTCAGCCACGAATGTGACGATTTATACGTATGTATATAAATATTTCGATATATATCCACATACAGATATAGAAAACTTGGCTATATGCAACTGCGTAGCGCCTTGCGAGCGGAGTGGAGCGGTGAACGCGCGCGCGTCTCTTGAGGCACGTGAAGCGTTTGAGCTGGTAGCCAGCCGTACATCAGCTTTACGGCTAGGCATCAGCCGCTGCTCGTGTCCTGGCCGCAGTCGTCAAGTCAAGCTCGTCGTCCTGCTCGGCGGGAAGGCAAAAACAAATGAAGCGTTCCACACCGTAACGAGATGGAGCGAAGCGAGGCGAGGCGAAGCGAAGCGAATGGAAATGCTGATATTGTCCAAGCCAGGCTGTGTTGTGTGTATACATAACAACAAGTTGCTGCCTGCCATTGCTGGTGTGGTTGCCATGGCCACCAGATACCTGCTACCAGCTTCACTTTCTACGGGCTACCGACCTCCATGACCTGCCTTTTTGCCGAATCTACGGGCTTATGTGTGTGCGCTAGAGTATGGTTTAAACGAATTGTCTCTGGTAGTGGGAAGGGGCGCACACATTTGTCAATATCCTGCTCGACACTAAAGCTCTCTGCGCGTCTGAGTGCCATTTCCGGTTTCAACCGATACATTGAAAACTTAAATTTGATTTAAGTTTCTGCCGAGCCATTCCGAGTTTCCGGAGAACTGGAGCACAAGGCTTTTCACTGGCTTCCTTCGCCCGGCACCAAGGTAACCTGCCTGAATTTTGGCTTTAAACGAAGCTCTCGCATTTTTCCTACACTTTGCGCTTGCCTTGCTTTATGTTGGTTCCTGGCCCATTTCCCCTTCCCCGCCCAAAACTGTCAAGCTAGGACCGACCGTATCAAATTCGACGACGATGATGACGATGGCGTAGAGGACGCAATTTATTATTTTTACGAGAAAGGGCCATGGCCGTAGCACCGTTCCAGAACCGCAAGCCGCATTGTTGTTACTGGGCGGCCAGGCATGGCTTATTATTATTATTTGTGCGTTTTATATTTCCGTGTTTTATTGCGCCACTTCTCCTGCTCCTTCCACTCCTGCCCGTCCAGCCAGTCCTCTCGTGCTGAAAACCCCCACTGAAAACACACACCCCTTAAGCAGAAGTCAGAGACCGTATATTTCCATTGACTTCTGCCGGGGTCCAACTTCATTTGTCGGCGGTGACAGTTGCTGAGTGCCCGACATGGTGCTCGCATCAACCCGTTTGACTCTGTCCGTGATTTATGTCCAATTGCCACCTAGCCAAAGTCCTTTAAAGTCCCAAGCTTACTCCATTACATAGGTGAGTATTGACTGCTCCTCGGGCCACTGATATGTTTGAATCCAATGCTAACATCTAACCGCATGTTCGTAGCGACTTTAGTAGCGACTTATTGTGATTATGCCACAAATCCTGGTTCTCATTGCCTTTCACCTTTTTTGTTTCAGGTCTTGACGCTCTGATGCGTGAGTTTAAGTCAGGAGGCGTGACCCTGCGACGGCGCAATCGCCGCAAGACGGGCACCAGCGAGGCTCTCAAGGAGATGTTCCAAGTACTAGAGATAAGTCAGAAGCAGAATCGCAACTCCAAGATATGCGTTGACCTGCACTCATCCCGTGGAGTTGATGTTTAATGCTGCTGCTGACACCTTTCTCACCCACTCTCTTACACCTTGGTCTCAAATCTCAGGATCCTGCTGTCCCTGAACAACGAACATTCCGTGCATTTTCAAACCGTATTATTGTGTGCCTTTTCGAAGAGGAAACTAAAGCCATTTTAAAATTTTCTAAGCTTAAGCCGCAACTTTATACCAATCTTATATCTTATATATTATCTACTTGACAATATTTATTTATAACTAACTTTTAACCGACCTGGGTAATGTGTTCATTTTGACAGGTTTCGCGTTTTACTAATCAAAGAAACCCCAAACAAAAATATATTGAATAAACTTTTTAACCAAAAAACAAGATAGAATGCTATAGTCGAATTCCCCCACTATCGGATACCCGTTACTCAGCTGCTGAAAGTGTTTTACCTCTAAAATAAAATCGTCAGACTCTTAAAAATTCGTAGCTTTTACATGCTTAATTGTATTTTATTATTGCTTAATCTTTGGCCGATACACAGATCGAAAATTACACAGAATCCATTTAAAACATAATTAAACAGTGATTTTGCTAAAACGTTTGTTTAAATAATTGTGCGTTATGGTTTCATTGCGCGTTGTTCATACATATAATATTCTGAAGGAATAAATCTCAATATTTAGTTTCTCTACTTTATGGCTATACTGAAGTGTATAAAAACAGTGTAAATAGTTTTGAGTTCTTCAAAAAAATGTATAAAATTGTAGCATACAAGATTTCGTTTCACATTAGTATTTCGTAATTGACTTGCTAGTAAATTTCTGCTAAAACCACGTTGTTCGTTCGTAAAATCGAAGATATGGTCGTAGGTTTCGTGTATGTTAATTGCTATTGCATAAAGACTGTGGCACTTGTTTGCATAAGAGACGTACAACGTTTTTCGACATTATTTCAGCTTAAATCTAATCGTAGATAACTAAAGTACAACATATATGTGTACAACATTAATTAGTACTTGTGGAAGACAAGCATTTGGGTTTGTTCTAAAACAAATTACACGACAAAAAACCTTAACTAAACAGAAATGACATGTTCAACATAATATCATTTAAACGTAATCAAAATCCTAATTTTATATCCTAATGCGATCGTTTTTAAGACACTTGATTTGGTAGGCGGTCGAAGGTTGAGGCAAAGGTCGTTGCTGTTTTTGTGGCTGTGGATACAGGCTCGATTGCCGGCTATACATGTAGTAACGGGAATATTTGGCACTCGACAACGTTTGAACATATATGGCGCTGCACTGGAAGCTTTTGGGGCTCAGAGATGTCCCTCGCTACCCTATGGAATGTGTTTGCTGTGGCGCGATGGCTTCGGTGGCGGCGTCGGCGGACGCGGTTTGTTTCCATCGATGGCACCCACCAAACTGAAGTTCGTGGTCTCCAAATACTCGTACGTGGCGTTCGTAATACTGGTCTTCGTCAGGGTTGAGGTGGTGCTAATGCTGCTGCTGGTGGTGTTGCTAATGGTGCTAAGCATCGCAAAACCATTTGGCGTCCAATCCATGTTTTGCGACAGGCTGGTGAAATCAGTTGAGTCACGTGCCTTGGCGGGCAACGGTGGAGGTCGAATGTCCTCCTCTGAAGTGGAATCGGGGGTTTCTGTGTATGAATTTATATATATATATATATTAGAGTAATTAATACTAAATGGGTTGTAGCAATCACTTACCAACAGAGTTGCGGTGGCTGCTTTCCGACAGGGAGCGCGTGTCTGGAAAATTCTTGATACTGGCCGTTGGCGTAGCAATGCTGGCAGGACGAGAGAGTCGACGCTCCTTCTCCATTTCCGAACGCAGGGGTCGCTTGGAGGTAAGCTGTTTAATACCAATCGGACGGATTAGATAATGATGAGGTGATCCATTTGATTAAACCTTACCTCCTCTGTCAGGACATGAGGGTCTGGCGTCTTGGGACCACTTAAAGAACTATTTGATGTGCTCGCCAGCGAGGCTATGGATATGTTGATCTCCTTCTCCGGCGTCGATGTTATAGTGGACAATGGCGGTGTATACCATTGACTGCTGGACAGGCTATGGGCATCACGCTCCTGTGGTTCAAGATCGTTTTTAGAAAAAGTTGAATTTCCGGGTACCGCACACTGCTTACCTTCACCTTTCCATCCTTAGGTCTTCGCTTGCTCGGAGTCTTATCCTTGCCCTTGTTGCTCTTGATGCTCGGTGAGTGTCCCAAACTAGGCCTGGATATGTTGGCATAGCAATGTAAGCATAGACGATAAGCAACATAACGTAAATAATTAAACAAAACAAAAGAAAATGCATGTTAAAAATCAAACTAAATCAAAATAATGTTAGAGTCTCAAACTAAAAGCCAGCGCCAGCGGTTAGCATGAAGAAAGAGTTTAAAGAGTTTTGGTTAGGACAAGCATTTCAAACAACGCGAAATCATCGAAAGCACTCACCTGGTGTTGAAACTTAGGCCGGAAAATGGGTTCTTAATAGAATTGGTCTGTGGACGCGGCAGAAATGTTGACTTCGACAGGCCGCTGCTACAATTGGAAATATTACGCGAATTAGTCAGCATTATTATGAAAAGATTGCTTCAACTTACTCTGAAGATCCCATGCTGGTTTCGGAGTGGCGATTGTTGCTGCCATCGGAGAGCAAAGGCAGGAAGGAGTTCGGACGTCGCATCACCACCGAATCTCGTTCGATTTTGAGGTCACACGACTTGCGGCCATAACGCATCTCCACATGCTGCTGCATTTCGGCGAAACAGCGTTCCAGGTGTTCCTGCAGAGCTTTCAGACTGTCTGGCGCCCGCAAGCGATGTAGCTGAATAGCTAAATCGAGCAGTGGAATCTGGTTGGCAATCAGTTCTTTGAGCTCTTCCACCAACTCCTTGTCGTCCGGATTCTGCTCCAAATAGTCCTCGGTGAGGAAGGCTTCCTCGTACTTGGCAAAGCCGCCCATTACAGCCGGATCCACAATGCCATTAAGTTTCATACTCAGCGGGTTGATGTGCAGACTTTCGTCGCTCTTGTGCAAGATCACCAGCTGGCGAATGTCACGGTTCGTGTCTTTCATAATTTCGACCGCCCGCTCCAGGGGTGAGATTTTAAAAGTATTGGTCTCAATGACGGGGAACCAGCGCAGAATACCCGGGAGAGGGTAGCGGATGAGCAGCTCAGTGCGCTCCAGCCACAGATTTCGTACATCGTCCCTGTCTCCACCGTTTATGCTGTCCCGGAAGGGACGCGAAAACTGAAACTTGTTCACGTCGTTGGCGGTGAAGTATTTGACGATTTCGTTGTTGATGATCTTATCGTTGAACTTGTTGAATGCCTGACCCATTATCGGCTCCACCTTGTTCACCTGTATGTACTGCCCATCACTGTTGGTGATGTCCTCGCCCGGCGCCTCCAACGTTTGCATTAACTCAGCCTGCGGATGCTGCACTAGCATACGGGCGCAGAAGTCACTGTGTCGCTCGTACTCCTTGCCCCGGAAGATGTAGACGCGGTTCTGAAGCAAACGCGGGAATCCCCGTCCATAGAAGCACACACGGAAGTATTCAGAATTGTGTCGCAGCTCCTTGATGATCTTCTCATAGAACAACGCCATGCGATTCAGAAGCTCCGCCAGCTTGAGATAGTCGAAGACCTCCTCCTCGTACTGGCGAGCCAGCACCCTGCACATATCGATGGCACACTCCCACTGTTTGCCCTTGTCGAAGTAATCCATGATCTCGAAGTAGAGCGCCTCCTTCAGTTGCCGGTGGGTGCGGCAGTTGCTGTGCCGATCGCTGCGCAGTTGGTGCGACAGTTCCGTATCCGTCCAACGCAACAGTTCCGTGTGGAGCTTAAGCGTGAATGCCGCCTCCGTGTAGTTCTCGAACTCCATGTGCAGAGTGCACAGTTTGTAGACATACCGGATGTACATCTCCTTAAGATCCACCTCCGAATAGAACTGCAGCAGAGAGAAGGTGCAAGCCATGCGATTCTCCTTGCTCTCATCTTGGATTATAAAGCGGTACTCCAGCAGTTTGTCCATCAGCCGGGTGACCATCTGCACAAAGGCAGTGCCATCCACGTTAAGAGTGTTGTGGGCAGCGCAGCGCTCTAGCATTATAGTCTCGAACAAATGTTTGTACTCGGCGTCGCCCTTACCAGCTCCAATCAGGATGTCCAACTTCTCAATCATCGCTGTCTTGAAGTCGGAAAAGTTACCCTTGTGGTGGGCATTGTTGAATTTTGTGTCGCCGTAGCTTTCGTGCTCCAATCGCGAGCTGTAGTACTCGCACTGCATCATGTCGAAGAAGATGGGAATGGTCTCCTGGCGCAGCTCCTTCTCCGGTATCATGCTCATTTCCAGGATGGGCTCCACCAACTGCGGCACAAACTTGGGCTTGTGCTGCCCCAACTGGAACCACATCTTCCTGATCTCCATGGCCGTGTCCTTGCGGATGTCTCGATATCGTGCGAACACAATTTGCCGTTTGTTATCGTTGAAGTCATTCAATTGCAGCGGTGATTGCACCAGAAAGGCGATGGAGCACTGGAAGAAGTTCGACCAGATCTGCTTCTCGAACGGACACAAGAAGTAATCCGTAATGACCACGGTGAGGTGCTTCAGAGCACCAAGGATCACAGTATTCTGGTGCATAATCATGTCCATCCAGTCTCGCGGAAACACTGCTTTCTGGTGCGGAGACACCAGCTCCTCAAATACCAGAAGGATCTCTATGACAAAGTGCGTCAACTCGCCGCGCTGGTGCAAGTCTTTCACAAAGTACTCGTAGTGCTGGGCGTCCATGCGCTGCAGTATACCCAGCATAATGGCAAAGAACTTGCCCACCAATCCCGTGTCCCTGTCCAGGGCGTGAGCTGCCTTCATCACGGTGCGGAACAGGATGATCATGATGTCTCGAATGTCATTGTGCGTGGAACCCACATCTGACCGGAACAGAAGTTTCAGTATGTTGTTCATGATGTTGATGCACTCGGCAATCTAACGATGAAAGTTGATATATTAGTTGTAGTCAAATTATTATTTTCAATCCAAGCAATTTGGGAACGCCTTTAGTCAATTCATAGAAATTTTGTTTCATTACCAAATTGCAAAGATTGGAACTATTAATGGGCATTGGATTTAAATCTATTTGTTTCTTGAGCTCTCAGAGCTCTATTGACTATCTCATTGGGCTTCAGTGGAAAAAGTTAACGTTAGTGTTCAATTAAATATAAATAACATTGCAGATTAAAAAAACACGAAACCATAGAACATTGCATTGCAAAAAGCTGGAACAACTTAAGCCTAACTTAGCGGCCGTCGATGGCAGGAAAACCGAAAAGCTGGG